ACTGACTGACTGACTGACACTCACTGACTGACTGACTGACTGACTGACTGACTGACTGACTGACTGACTGACTGACTGACTGACTGACTGACTGACTGACTGACTGACTGACTGACTGACTGACTGACTGACTGACTGACTGACTGACTGACTGACTGACTGACTGACTGACTGACTGACTGACTGACTGACTGACTGACTGACTGACTGACCCTCTGAGGTCTTCTCTAGGACACGGTGGTTTCTTTCGAGGTTAAAACATCGTCCACCTCCTGGACGTTTGTCCTCACCTTCGACTTTGGGCTTGGTCTCACCCAGACGTTCAGCAAACTTCTTCTTGAAGAACAGAGCCTGCAGCCTCTGCTGGTAGTGGTCGATTCTGAGGCAAAGACAAAGAGCAGAGGTTGAGAACACGGGACGTCACGGGGACGACCTCCAGTGGAGGTCAGAGGTCAGAGGTAACGTGTCGTTTAACAGACGTCCTACAGCAGGGGTCTGTGGTCTGTGGTCTCAGCCCAGAGGAAACAAAAACTGATCCATCAAGGTGAGAGGAGTCACTGGTCTGACCATGACACTACACACTCTAGTCCAGTAGGTGGCAGTATGCTCCTAACACAGTGGGTTGTGTATCCCAGATGTATCGTTACGTCCCCGATTGTATCGGACTGTAAAATTATAAAGACTCAAATGTTTCATGTTGCGGTGGTGACGTTTACGTCAACAGTTTGAGTTGAAAACTCATCAAAAACTGAAACAAAGACGGAACAGGTTTCAGTTCAAAGACCAAAAGCAGAAATATTTTGATTCCATATTTAATCGTCGGACCGGAGCGATGTGGTCGGAGGAAAAGGAAGTAGACGGGATCGTAAATTTCAGAAAATGGAACTAAGATGTTTAATTATCCTGTGAAGAAGAGACGATTCTGAGAAAAGAAGATTTAAGTGTCTGTTCTCTCTGATGTTCTCCTGGTTCTCAGAGGACAGACAGAACTTTCCACTCAGTCCAGTTATAAATCAGCCGGGCCCAGAGCCCGACACGTGGATCCAACGGCACCGCGGTGCCGCTGTGAACACTTTGGTGTTTGTCGTGTGTTGACCTCGTGCTGTTCTTATTAAAAGTCGCGACCGTTTCTGTATTTGTCACTAATTTAACACCAGGGTTCCCAACATCCGGCGCGTGCGCAGTCACCTGCTCATTTCAAAGAGGAAGCGGTCGGCCCGGGCCATGCGCTCCAGCTCGTGTTTATGTTCCTCCAACAGGTCAACGTCGCTCTTCTCTGGTATGAACTTCAGCAGCTGAAAAACAGCAGACGACAAACGTGTGAGGAAAACAACTCCAGACTCCACTCCACCCACAAAAACATTAACGTCAACGCTGTGACGGCCGACGTCTCAGCCTGTGGTTCAAAGTAGGAACTGCACTTTACACGGACCAGAACAAGTGTGAATCATTTTCATTATAAAAAAGAACGACTTGGCAAAAGAAAAGAGGACGACCTCTTCCTCCAGACTGTGGTACTGAACCGGTCTATAAATAATACAGACGTAGTCAATAAAATAAAACCAAATGATTTAAAACCACTAAACTATCGTTCTGGTTTTTTACGTTCACTTTGATTTAACCTCAAAACAAACGACAATAAATCCTTCTTTTTCTTCCAAACCATTTAAATTTTCACAGTTTTTTTTTTCAGACTGTTTAAATACCAATGTGTGGTGAGCTGTGCTACTCCTCCATTGGCTGCTTTTATTTACCTGTTCCAACATATCTTTGGCCAGCTCTTCTCTCTCGTCCATCTCTAGGATCGCTCTCCGAATCTCCTCGTTGCTCATTTTTAACCTGCAAATAAGAAAAATCGTAAAAAAATTAAAAATTAAATTGCAAACAATTTCTCGTGATAAAACATCAGATCAGTCTCTAGGTTTGCTAGCATTGTTAGCTTGTCCATCAGAACCACTGACCTGGCCGTGTTCCAGTCTGAGTTCACTGACCGAACTACAGCCGTGTTTGTCAAAGAACGCGCTCAAATCGACCGTTGACGTCGTCGACAGACAAACGACGAGTGGACGATTATGTCACTGCAGGTTTATCGGACCGTGAAGTTTATCGGACCGTGAAGTTTCATGAACGTTTATTTGTCGACCGAAATGATAAAACTCTTCAGTAGCCGTTTACTCTCTGAATACTTCAAACCACTTTTTATGAATCTTCAAAGACCAAAATAAGTAAATATATTCACCAATATATGCACCTAAAATATACATCAGAAGTCTCCGCTTCCTGCAGATAGTACAAAGTACACGTGACAAATACTGCAGTGTCACTGAACTCTTGTTCAGTTCAGGATCATCACAGTGTACAACTGTAACAACACAGCTGTGGACGACTCATTACTACCACCTACAGGTCTGTGGGAGATCAGCTTTAAACCTGGGGTCTCGAACTCTCGGTCCAGGGACTACTTCTGGCCCATAAACCCCTCAAATCTGGGCCATGACTTGATTTTAATAATAATCTAATTTTGTCTTTTTTTCATATTTTAAGATTTATATTTAATTGTTTTGATTTTTTCCACTGTTAAAGTTCAGGAAGCGGAGATGAGAAAAAAAAACTGTAGTTTTATAGAATAATGAAAGTACACATACATGTGTTTAACAACCGTTTTTTGTGTACACCTCTCTGACCACGAGCCTTACTTTGAGAGCAGGATAACACAGTTCTGTGCTCGTCTGCCATCGATGACCGACAGTTCTTTGACCTTCCGTGTGCTGACGTATATGTCGTCCATCGAGCCCGTCTCTTTCTGCAGGAAAAAAAAAAACAGAGTTCCATTTTCACACTGGTACTGGTACTGGTACTGGTCCAAGTACGGATACTGGTACAGTAGAACTGTCGACGTCTTGACTGCAGTGAATAATGACACGACCGTCGTCCGACCAAGACCTGGGCGTGTCGTTACAGCGAGGTAATACTACGGCCAAATACTGCAGTTGGCCTCGGGTCACTTCCTGTGACTGTGTGCGACTGCAGCTACAGAGGCCGTGCTGCACGTCGCATTAAAAATGAGAAACCGACGCTGGGTCGGTATGGAAACACTTTTAAAAAGACATGGAAATAAAAAACCTTCTAGCAGGAAATCTAAAGCAGATCTTTTCACTTTTCCTTCGGTGCCTCACCGCACCGTGCCTGCGAACCCACAGAGCGCTCAGAGGAAAAGGAAACACTTTTCACCACTGGACTCGCTCCATATTTCTGGCCAGAAACAGACAAATTTAGTAAATTATCAACGCACGCGGCTGAAGAATCCGCGTCTGTGTCAGAAGGCCGGAGCTGCACGTGAAGCACGTTCTATTTATGGGCCGAATCGGTACCGCCGCCAGAAAAGGAGCGTTCTGAGGTTAGCGACTGTGACGTGTGTAAAACAGATGCAGCTTGTAAAGGAACGGTCGTTTTTTCCATGGCCGTGTTGACCCACGCCGCCTGGAACCAGACGGAGGTTGG